ACTCAAGATTTGGAGGGGGCATTCTGTGAAGTTAAGATACAGATCAGCCATAATGTCACTGAATGACAGAATAGGCTTGAGGGGGCTGTATCGCCTATTTTATTCCTATGTTAAAAGAGTCACCTACGTAAGAAAATGTTTACTTGGTTAAGACCAATAAAATATTGCATTTGTGTCACTGATACCGCACCATTAGTCTCATCAATCTTTGCAATTAAACAAATAAAAATTGGAAAATATTATAGACCAAATGGCCTAATGTTGGGCTGTAGGTATTTATGGACAGAATCTTACAGCGGTCTGAGTAATGTCATCTTTGGCAAGATGTGTAACAGAAGTGTGGCAAGCCCTATCCCGAGATCAAGTGCAACTTACACCATTTTTAATGCTTTTCACAAGTGGTATAATGAGATTCTCACTAGGCAATGATGGATTACCAATTGATAGTGATTAATGGGTTCTTACATGCTTGTTAACAGCCCAACTCACCTCACTAATATTTAGCCTCCCACTTGAACGAGCTCAGCAAGCATATGCAATGTCAGGAAACCCCCAACAGAGAAAAACAGAGTGAGTACCTGACGGATTTGGTTCATCATTTGCTCCCAAGGACCTCCTGTAGAAAACTAGGTACCAAGATGCTCCATGGGCACCAACCACACAAAGTCCACATCCACAAACACTCATATGTGAAATGTGTCAGCCTTTAAGAACCCTCATGACTCATCTCCACTTCACTTACAGGATACTTCCATGCTTCAATGCTGCACCTTAAGATGCACCAGTATTTGTCATTGTAATGATACAGCAAGGACACTGTGTGCTAATGGAAATTCAGCCAGCTCGTGGACTGGACCAGCTGCATCTCCAAGTTCTTTGCTTGTTGTCATATTGCTCACTCGCTCCAAGCATACCTGGGTGCCCACACCATCATTGGCTTGCATTGTCTTGCCTTGCCTTTTTGTGCATTTGGTCCTCAGCCAGTGACACCAGACTCATTTTCCAGAGATGACCTGTCCATCTTCCATCCCACCTACCTGCCCCTCCCTCCTCTCTGACCAATCCGCATCCCAACTCCCTACCTACACTCACCTTTACGAGCTTCATCCCCACCTCCTTGGCCTGTCCGTCTTCTCTCCACCTATCTGCTCCACTATCCACCTTCTATCACCGCCTCCTCCCTCTCTATTTATTTCAGAGCTCCCTTCCTCTTCCCTATTTCTGAAGAAGGGTCCAGACCTGAAACATCAGCTTTCCTGCTCCTCTGACGCTGCCTGGCGTGCTGTGTTAATCCAGCTCCACACCTTGTTATCTCTGACTGTCTTCCAACTGTCTTCCTTTGGCACTTAGCACTGGGACAAAGCTAGGATGCTTGTGATGGCTGTCAGCAGACCTCAGCCAATCCTTCGTTCCAGGGTCCTGGCACAGTAAGTCAAGGGCACACTCTAATACAATTCCAGGACAAGCTGAGGGCAATCAGAGTCAAGGCCCTTGAGTAAAATGGGTGAGGAGCTGAATGTCAGGCAGCACACCGTCTGTCTTGAGTCCTTCTGATCTATTGTGGACTGATTTCTGCTAAGAATGAGAGAGAGGCAGGTATTACTGAAGCTGAAAGTGGATGGCACAGCCTTTATCATCTGTGCAGGTGTGAAGTGTCCTGGGCGAGTGAGTAGGCAGTGCAGAGGTGATACAGGGATAATGATGTAAAAGTTGGGTGTGTTAAGCGAGTGACAGGAGATGTGAGACTTGGTAGGTCTGCACCTAGAAGGCAGTTGTACAACACTATGACATGTGAACTTTTGATGTAAAAGTACCTACTTTGCCTTCAATCATCCTTTCTATATCATGGAGTCAGCGTGGTCAGTTGGCTGTTTTTATGTGTATTCAACAGTGACATTAGGAAGCACAGATTTCGGACTATATGCATAGGTTTAAAATATTGTAGCTTTTTCAAATAACCAACCTTGTAAAAAGACTTCAACTTATCTGACTCACAACAACCTGACTCTTTGTGGTAGATGTTACATAGGCTAATATACAGTAAACCAGAAACTGTGTCGTTCAGCATTTTCAGTTTTCAGGTTTTCAACATCCACAGTATTTTGCTTTTGGCAATCCTTGCAATGATGGAAGGTGACAAAAAATATAATATGCAAATTATTAAATGTGTGGCTTCCATGGGTGAAGAAAGGAGGCAAGTTGGGCATATTGAAATTGCTCCTTTTTTTAAAATTTATTCACATGAATGTCATTACTTTGTGAACTTACTGCCAGAGGGTGGTGAATGTTAATATAATCTGGCCTGTTCCTTCTCACTGACCCAATATATTATTCATACCCATTTACATTAACTATTCCTGCTTTGAAGAAGACAGTGAAGGTTTAGTCTATGGTGTTGTTGACCCATAGTTATGTCATGCACACATTCAAACATTGCATCCTAATGCTTACATATAAAATGGGGATGAAATTCTATGGAGGCTATCCCATCATATCCTATGACTTGAGAGGAAAATTTGCAAAAATTTCACTAAATTGATATGGACATCATTTCTGTCTAAGCTTTGGTTTTGTGGTAATTGTAGTTGCAGTTTCAAGAACACTGCATTGATTAAAGTGCACACTGAAGGCTCATAGTCAAGTGTAGTTTTGAAAGCAGTGCAGGACTGTCAGAAGGGCCACTGTTAGGTGAATATATTAAAACCTAATGTGAATATAAAAAAAATCTTGTGGGATTATTTGAAGAGCAAGGAAATCTCCTGAGATCCTGGCTAATATTTATTCCCTAACAAATATTACTGAAATAAATAACATGGTCATTATTGGTAAAATTATTTTAAACATGCTAATTCTCACTTAAGTGAAAAATTTATGCAGTGATAACTTTGCATGGTCAGCGTCTCAGCTAAAATGCAATTTATTATGGTGGGTTTTTTAGGATACTTTTGGTCAAAATTTGGACGGTAAACTTCTTTGAAGTAGAACAACACATGGAAACTTTCTTTGTATTCCTACATGGGATGTGAGCATCACTGACAAGATCAGCATTTTTTGTTTATCCCTAACATTCCCGAAGGCGATGTTGGTAAGCCTGCTCATCAAGCCATGGTAGTCCATGGTAAAGTTACTCTGACTGTAAAGAAAGGACTTCCAGGATTTTGGTCCAGCAACACTAAAGGAAGAGGTGGCACAGTGGTTAGCACTGATGCCTCACAGAGCTAGGGACTCAAGTTCAAATCCAGCCTTGGGCGACTGCCTGTGTGGTTTTGCACATTCTCCCCGTGTCTGCATGGGTTTCCTGCCATAGTCCAAAGATGTACAGGTTAGGTGGATTGCCAATGCTATTGTGTCCAGGAATGCCTAAATTAGGTGGATTAACCATGGGAAATGCAGGGTTACAGGGATGGGGTATTGGGGATAGCAGATGGAATGCTCTTCAGAGGGCCGGTGTGGACTTGTTGGGCCAAATGGCCTGTTTCCACACTGTAGGGATTCTTAACAAAAAAGGAATGGCTTGAAGGAGAACTTGTAGATGTACAGGTTCCCATGCACTTCCACTGTTAACCTTCCAGGCAGCTGAATCATGGCATTAGGAGATACTGTTGAAGAAGACTTGGCGAGCTGCTCCTGTTCACTCCTGTCACTGTACTTCAGTTGTGGAGGGGATGAATATTTAAGGTAATGGTTGGAGTGCTGATCAAAAAGCTTAGGTGACCTGGCTTTTGTCAAGCTTCATGAGTGTCGTTGGTGTTATTTAGGGAAGTGAAGAATGTTCTATCATAGGCCTAACTATCAGTAATACAATAATATGATGACTAAGGTCCTGGATGAGTCATCTAGAGACCCAAGTTAGTAATTAGGGACAGAAACTTACCAGGCACTGAACAACGTGGGCATTATTGAGAAAGTTGGGAGAATTGTATGAGATTGGTGGTAATGAACTTCCGACATCAAGAACAAAAAGTCTAACCAGGTACTGTATGGTGAGACCTAGTGCATGTGAGAGGCCTCTCAGTGTTAGTAATGCATTAATATCCTCGTTAACACATCATCATGCATCATTGATATGCAGTTTCCCATTCTCTAACACCCACATAGAAACTGGATGTCAAGAGTTCCTGACATGAAAGTCAGAGCTCACTCCTGCAAACTTTCATAGGTAACCAACATATTCAGGCATGCTTCGTGGGCAATGACTGCACATACCCCATGTCCAACACAACATCCAGTTGCCTGTTGGCAAAGCAGAGTGCCAATTTCCCTCTGCCCCACATATCGAGAGTAATTAACAGGAACTGTGCAAGGCATCTGTAGACTGCCCGCGCTTGACCAGGTGCGTAGTTGGGCTTTAAAGGTGGTTGCAGTGGCAGCAATTCTGGAAGTTCCTAGCAGAGTCCAACCCATTATGTCTCATGGAGAGAAACCTCCATGAAACTGACTAAAACTGATACAATTTCTGGTATGAATTAGCCACTGGAATTGAAATTTCAAATGCTGCCAACACTGCAACTGAGTATTTGAAATGTAATTAACATAATAAGTATAGAACAAAAAGCTTGTATCAGTAATGATGACCATGAAACAACTGGCTTGTCTGTAAAAAAAGCAACAGATTCACAGCTGTCCATTTGGGAAGGAAACTTGCTGTTGTCCACATGTGCCTACAGACTCAGAAAAAAGTGGTTGACGCTTAATTGTCCTCTGAAATGGTCTTACAAGTCAATTAATTGAGCATTCCTTTGTCAAATGTATTATTTCTGAGAAAGCAGAAAAGTAACAAATAGGAGAGATGGGATCTTAGCAAAAAGCTTTTGGGATCTTCTGTTATAAAGATGGTCGTTTCTTTATATGTTTCAGTACAATATAAAATGAATGCGTACGCATTTTCATAAATGGTCAGTTAGTACTGGGATAGTCTAGGTATGATTGACATGATGATGATTGATATATCATCGTTCCAAATCATTATCTTCAAATATTGATTGTTCTTATTTTGTTACCTGTTAGAGAGTATGATGTGGTGATTGCTGTTGGTTCACTCCTGAGGGCAGATCCACAACTTGATTCAACAAAACGCCCTTTTATGGAGACTAACGGAGAGCCTGAATTTTGCAATGCAACTTTCAGAGGAGTAATCCCATTGAATTGGACCGATGAGAGGCAGCCAATAAAGCCTTCTGAGTTCGCTCTGTGTATCTCTTTATCTAGATTATCGCTGTCTGCAACATGAATTAAACATCGTGTGAAATTAGTCAGTTACAGGACATGATAAAAGTTGACAACAAGTTAATTATGCTCAAATTAACACTTATAGATCCCCACACATTATGGATCACAATCAACTAAACTATTCATTAAAATACATTTTGTTTATCCATATGATCTCCCACGTATAATGAAGCTAGATGTTGCGAAGTTTTAAATAAATACTATCTTTACAATCAGTATTGTTAACTAACCCTTAAATTATTCATGCACAGCGTCAACCCTTGCATTGATTCACTCCACGTCCGAAGTGCAGAGTGCAGCTAGAAATTGATTGTTAATTAGACTTAAGGAGGAATAGAAAACGTTGAAGTCAATTTTTCACAGGCTGCAGTCCCTTAATTGTAAATTCATCAGAATTTTAATCAAATTTGCTTGCGTGCCATTCCAACTTTCTCAATGACACTCTGAGGCCATTGGCAAGAAAAGCTCATTACCATCATGAGACCATTCATCATCAAGTTTACAATCAGAAGATCAATATTGAAAGCCATACATTCTTGAGGAATCTAACACTGTTCCTTAAATGGTGCTGGACTTTGAGAAATCTTGTTGGAAAAATTAAATAGAAGTCCTGACACCACATTTAACAGTAATTAGACCAGCAGTTCACCCTTCTGTAAGGTAGCTTTCTAACTGTCTGCCTCTAAAAACACGTGAAACATTAACTCTGCTACTCTCTCCAAAGCTGTAGCCTGATATGCTGCATATTTCCAGAATTTTCACTGATAATTTCAAATTTCCAGCAAATGCAACATTTTGCTTTTGGAAGAAAGATTTAGAACAATTATTCAACCGAATAAAAGCTATGGAAGGGTATTTACCATGGGTAGATGACATGAACACTGCCAATCAGCATCTACAAAGGTAAATTGTACTTCATATTAAAAGCACAAGTTTCAGCGGAGAGAAAGCAGGACATTACAGCACTAAAGATTACAGCGAATCCCTCACTATCATCATCCTGGAGTTACCATTGACCAGAAATTCAACTGAATTTGCCACATAAACACAGTGGTCAGAATACTGCAGCAAGCAACTCATCACCTGACTCCCAAAAGCCTACAAGGCATAAGTCACGACTGTGATGAAATACTCCCCATTTGCCTCGATGGGTACAGCTTCATCAACACTCAAGAAGCTTGACATCATCCAGGACAAAGCAGCCTGCTTGATTGGCATCACATCTACAAACATCGACTCCCTCCATCACCAATGCTCAGTGTGCACTATCTACAAGATGCACTGCAGAAATTCACCAAAGATCCTTAAACAGCACCTTCCAAACCCACGACCACTTCCATCTTGAAGAACAAGAGCAGCAGATATATGGGAACCCCATCATCTGCAAGTTGTCTTCCAAGCCACTCATCATCCTTACTTGGAAATATTACATCGTTCCCTCAGTGTCCCTGGGTCAAAATCCGGGATTTCCCTCCTAAAGGACATTGTGGGTTTACCTATAGCACGTGGACTACAATGGTTCAAGAAGGCAGCTCACCAAATTCTCAAGGGCAACTGGAGGCAGGCAATAAATTCTTGCCAGCCAGTGATGGTCATGTCGCATGAGAGAATTAAAAAGAGTTAGCTCATCATTTGTTATCAGGAAAATATTAAAAGCTATTAAAAAAAAAATGTTATATCATGGCATTTGAAAAATGCAAGGTAATCAGGCAGAGGCATGATGTTTTTACAAATGGGTAATCATGCTTAACTGATTTATTGGAGTTCTTTGAGGATGTAACATGTCTTATAGATATAGGGGCAATCCAGTATGTGCAGCATCCCTACACTGTGGAAACAGGCCATTTAGCCCAACAAGTCCACACTGACTCTCCAAAGAGCATCCCACTCAGACTCACCCACCTACTGTATATCCCTGCATTTCCCATAGCAAATCCACCTAACCTAGCATCCCTATGGGCAACTTAACATGGCCAATCAACTAACCCTCAAATCTTTGGACTGTAGGAGGAAACCCACACAGACACAGGGAGGACATACAAATTCCACACAGGCAGTCACCTGAGGCTGGAATTGAACCCAGGTCCCTGGTGAGGTAGCAGCGCTAGCCACTGAGCCACCATGCTGCCCCACTATGCTTAGATTTCCAGAAGGCATTTGTTAAAGTGCCACATCAAAGATCATTACATAAAATAAAAGCTCAAGAATATTGACATGGACAGAAGGTTAGCTGGCTAACAGGAAGCAGATATTAGACATGAATGGTTCTTTTTCAGTTTAGCAAGATTAATGAATAGTTTGCCAATTGGATCAGTACTTGGACATTAACTGTTTGCAATTTATCTAAATTACTTGCATGAGGGTAGTGAATCTGGAGAATTCTTTCCTACAGAGAGCTGTAGAGACTGGGTCACGAAGTGTTTTTAAGGCCGAGAGAGACAAATTTGTAATCAATACAGGAATCAAGGGTTATTGGGAAAGGCAGGAAAGTGAAGTTAATGTTTATTAAATCTAATTGAATGGCAGAGCAAAAAGATAAGCCAAATGGCCTAGTTCCATTGCGATGCCTTGTGGTCTGAAGGAAGGGACTAGAGGCAGAGTTACCAATTTTGCTGGTTGACCCAGATAGGTAAGAAAGTTGTGAAGAGGCCATAAGAAGGCTGACAAAGGCTTTCTAGGTTAAGTGGAGTGGATAAAGATCTGGCAAATGGAGTTTGATGTGGGAAAAGGTTAAATTTTCCATTTTGGCATAGAAAATCGGCTTGGGGCAAAATTGTAGAGCTGTAAAAGAGGGATGTGGGTGATCTAGTTGGTGAATCTCAAAAGACTAGAATGCAGGATACCTTTGAGTAATTATTGTGAGGGGAATTTAACACAAAAGTAGGGATATTATTCAACATTACACAGGGCATTGGTGAAATCATACCTGGTGTACTGTGCATGGTATTGGTCACCTTATTTAAGGAAGGATGTAAATGTGATCAAAACTGGAATGGTTGGATTGTTTTATAAGGAAGGGTTGGACATGTTATGCTTTTATCCACTGGAGTGTTGAAGAATGAGAGGTGACTTGATTAAAACATGAAAGATTCTGAGGGGTGGAAATGGATATAAGTTTCCTCTTACGGGAGAATCTAGAACACAAGGTCAGAGTTTAAAGTAAAGGATCACCCAATTAAATCAGAGACAACAATTTTTGTGGTGTTTTTGCATATCTTTTCCTCAGAAGGCAGTGGAAGGATAGTCCTTGGCTATATTTAAAGTAGAGGTAGATAGATTTTTGTTAAACAAGGGTCAGAGAGATTATCAAAGGTAGGTGGGAATGTGGAGTAATCAGATATACACAAACATATTGAAGGGAGGAAAGACTCAAAGGGCTGAGTGGCCAACTTCTATTCCTATCTTGTACGGGTTTGTCAGTATACATTTATACATTTGTACATAAATTTCAAGGTTTGGTCAATACTAAGGCATAATGTCACAAAATAAAAGATGTAACTGATAAACTTAGAGAATGGGTATGCAATTGGCAAATGAATTTTGATATAGATACATGACAGGTACTGCATTTTGGGATGAAGAATAAGGAGGCAACATGTTATTTAGACATTATAACCAAATATTGGAAAGAACAAATGTTTCTCGTGTACAGATAAAGGAAAATCGCTAAAAATGGTGGGCTGAATTCTTTGATGGCCAAATAGTCATTTCTGCAGTCATTACGGTGTGGAGTTGGAGGAACACAGCAGGTCAGGCAGCATCAGAGGAGCAGGAAAGTTGTTGTTTCGAGTTTACAACCTTCATCAGGACTCTGCATTTCTGCAGCATGGATGGCATTTGTCAGGACCCTGTGGGATCCCCAACATAGCAGACTCTGAGGCAATTACCAGGAAACTGAAGATACCAGTTGGCAATGCCCTTGCACTTAAAAATTGCTGCAATTGTCCATTTAAATCAAAGAACTTAGTGGGTTCTGCTGCAGCTAAGTGAAATGCCTTGGAAAACTTGGACAATTAAAAATTCAGTGTAACTTCTGGGTGACTTTTATGTTGATGTCCCAAGCTTACCATGCGTACCACCAACTACACTTTCCCCAGGCTCCTCACAACATCTGGACCCTGACCTGACAATCCCTTCTATGCTCTCCCCTTGCCCTGCCATCACCCAAAGCACCCAACATGCTTCTCCTCCACTGGATATGGCACCTATAATGCCCTGCACTAAGTATTCTGTCCCTTATCTGGAAGACTTGTGCCTTAGAACTCTAACTACTTAGTCCCCTACCGACTTGGCACTCTGTCCATCCAGCATCCTGCCCATCTGGCACTCTCACTTCATGTACTTTAGATACATATCCCTTCACTACTCTCTAAATGGCGGCCTGTGTTGCTGGAATTTTAAATAACAGAATGCGGTAAATAATCCCATTGAAAAGATGTCATGGCTTGACTTCCTAGACTATCCCCAAACAAAGGGATTTGTTACATTTAATGAATACTCGTTCTGAGGAAGCTAAGATAAAAACCTCCTGCTGGAAATGCAGAGCTCTTTCTTAACAGAGAAAAAAAGTAGAAGCAGAGTGACAATCTGACTGTTATACTGATTCATTTGAAAATAAAGCCCTAGTGTTGCAGGCTAAGAAACCCATAAATAATGCAAATAAGCATGAAGGGTATTTTGCAAGGAAAAAGAATTGAAAAGCCATGTAATTATGTTAAGCCTACGTTAAACTTTGATTCAATCACAATTGTAATACTGTGTGCAGTTATTGTCTCAATCTTGTCTACAAAAGCACTGGAGAAGATATACCAAGGAACCACAAAGCTGATAGCAGAACTGCAAAAAATATCCTGATCAGAAAAGGCTGAACATGCCCTTGCACAGAGAAGCTGGATGGTTGACCACATAGAAGTCTTTATGATCACAAAACGGCTTCATTGTGTAGAACTAGATAAGCATTTCCAATTATGGAAGACTCCAAAGCCAAAGC